TGTTGTCCTTGCTGTTGTCCTTGATAACCAGTGTTGATAGCTTGTTAGCTAGTGTTGATGATTAGTGTTATGGATGAACTTTTGCTGGAGAGATACTGTTGCTTATTAGTGATGCTGCTAGTGGTGTTGGTGAGGGGGGGGGGGTGTAAGTAGCTGTTGGTCATCGGAACCAGAAGCGCATCCACTGGCATTATGGTAGCTTCAGCACATGGTTGTGAGGACACCTCTGTGTCCAATAATTGACAACAAGTTGCCTTGTTGCTACCAACATCATCTAACAACACATGGAGCAGTATTGGTGCAAAATTGGATGGTATTTTAGGTAAATATGTTCATCAAGAATATATTTCTGACACATTGATTGACATCATGATAAAAATTTCATAGGAAAAATGGTGTTGTTGGACAAGACTTTGTGATGTCAATAGGTGCGCTGGACATATTTTACATGGGAAAATGATAACCCAAATGTACAACTGGTTTGTACATCAGTCCCCCAACCCTAAAATAGATGTGCTAAATTTTTGGTCTGTCAGTCTATCAAAAGTAGCAATTCCATAATAACAGGAATTGCCCAATTTTGCAAGCCCTTTCTAGAACTATGTAATCACCAGCAGCAACAAGCTTTACTTACTTGCTATTGCTACTACTAGCAAAGGACCAAGAAGAATTAGAAAATCTGTTAAGAGTTTTTCTTCCTACCTGGAGATGTATATTGCTTACTGGCTTGTTGATTACTCCTCTGCAAACAAAAAATTCAAAAAACTCTCATTTAATCACCAATTTCCTCATCATAGGGACCTGTTACTCCCTTGGTGAACACTCTTGTCTTTTATATCTAGTGCAACCTGTGTGCACATGTTGTTCTTTGCATAGAGTTGTGCAGAAAACTGGCCACAAAAAAGCTGTTATGCAATATAGAGGAGCACCCCAGCCTTATAATTGCTCCATCTTCCCAAGGCCATAAGGACAAACACACACATCCTTCTTTGAAATCCATAGTTTGGGCAAGATAATTATTTTATGGCTTATTTTTCATTATAGTAAAATTAAGTTGGGTACTTAAATTGCCTGCCATAATATAGGTCCAATACTAAGTGATTCTATGGGTCTACCTGTACCACCAGGAGTGAAGAAACAAATGGCAAGAAGATTATTTCAGGAAGAAAAACTGCATCAACAACAAATACAAGAAGTAGTAGTGAGAAAGAAAGTACTACTACTAGCACTGCTAGTAGTGCTACTACTTGTACTAGAAGCAACACAACAACCACTACGCCAACATACCACTGTACTAGTCAATAATTGAGTCCACMACCACCAAGTTGCTACTAGTAGTATCAAAGGCTTGGCAATGATGATATGGTGGTTCAGTTTAGTTCATGATTTGTGATGATTGAAAAGAGTTTGAAAATAACCCTAGTAGTATTACTATCTTAAACTTAAACTCTACTACAATTTTGGCGGTGAATGCATTGAGGTAAACTTCTCATTTTTACATTCAGGATGCACACTATCTCTCTTTCTGCACCCCCAGTATTCACCAGGACTGACCCCTTAGAAGCTCCATCATGGTTGGGGAAAGTTCCTAAAGTTTAATGGGACCGCAGGAAGCTTGATATGCTTTGACTAAGACACGGCCCGTACTAATCAATTGAACGGTTGCTTTAATAAATGCTTCCAGAACAACTAGGTGTTCAAAAACTTGTTTGATTTTTTGACCAAGTTGATAGATTGCCTCAAAGTCATCCCAGGCTTTCTTGCCATCTTTGATGACTGCAATAATTGCAGTTGGATTTAGAGAAGCAGCGCCGCATGCATCCTGGATAAGATTTCCAATGGCGTCGACCTCATCCAATGCTTTCGTGACCAATGGAATAATGGACTGAACGTTTGCGATTGCCTTCAGGGAAGCACCCCAATCTTTCTTAATTTCTTTCGAGTCATTCACAAAAGCGTCAATCGTGGTTTTGTTCTTTTTCATAAAATCCTCAATATTTTCGGCTTCAACAACGAGAGCTTTCGTATCTTCTTCTACTGATGATGCGAATTTCTCGGCTTCCTCTCTCATCGAAATGTGCTTCACCACGATCGTTTTCGTTTCTTCTTTGACAACCGTGGTCGGTTCCGGCTCAGAAGATTCAATCGTTGATTTATCAAGTCCTTTGCCCATTTTCACCAGGAGATGGTCTAGATGCATTCTGTGCAAAATCCTGGACTCCATTTTCCTCAAGCGAAGCTTCAAAGACTTCTCTGCTTCCTCTGCTTTTTCTTTTGCCTTTTGATCGTGTTTTTCGCAAAAATCAATCGCTTGCTTAACAATCAGATCGATATTGCCTGTCCAGCGTTCAATGGCAATGAATGAATGCATAAGCTGAGCACGACTCTGATACACCTCCTCGATGTCCTCGTATACTTTTTCCATCTCTTCAACACCTTTCAAAATATCCCCAGACTTGAAGTCCGATTCTACTAGCTCAGTCTGGTGAAAGGCGTCTAAGATCGTAGGATATTCACTCGTAAGGTATGAGGCAGAAGCTAAAATCTTCTTCCAATCCTGGTATATTTCCTCGCAATCTTTGATCATTGCCTCTGCCTTCTTTCCATCATTAACTACTTCGGTTTTGAAAGTTTGTAGCTTCTTCATGTCGACCGTAAGGTCTGGAGTTAGATCGTTACCATCTCCGAGTGATAGGGCCTTCAACTGATTCTTCATTATTTCGTATGAGTTTAATTGAATGTAATATTGTGGATCTCTTGTGGTTCTAAGCTCGTTCTCTTGTTTCGATTTTTATCTCTCACGAAAGGCTTCCTGGCTTCCGTTCGGGCAAAATTGTGAACAGCGAAACGAATGTGATAAGTTGTATTACCATATGCACGGTATTACGATACCGTATTACGGTAGATTGAGAATGTCAGGATACCACCGGTAGTAGAAGTACGTACTTTACTCATAACAACCCTGTGCAGGTTCCGGTTAGGCATAGCTCAAAAGATCTCACTTAAAATTTTTCTTTACCTACGGTTCGGGAACGTGAAGGTATGACAAAACATGCAACGAAGTCGCACCGTAAGATGTTTGCAAATAATAGCTTGACGTATTTTAGGATGGAGAGTGAGTTCATTCGCTATCTACCCGTGATTCTAGCCTAGCCTCCCAATCGGCACCACGTAAATTGGGTGATTCCCGTTAATCTAGATGGTCTACTTTTTGGAAGACAGACAGACGAAAAATAGACCATTTTGTTAATTCGACGTGTACACCGATGTATGCCTACGTCATTGAGCACGCGAAACCTTAAAGAGAAAGGTATCAAATGTGTAAATTCTTCCCTATTG